TTACTCATTCTTTATCTCTTTTGTCTTTAGAAAGTACCTAGTCATGGTTTTTTTTCTACTGGGTTGACCCAAATCTTCACTCCTGTGAAGGGCCATTAGTATTTCCACCTGGATTGGGTTGTTGTAGTTTCCTATTGACCTAACTCACAATGGCATAGTAATGTAAGAGATACCATAAAAAATCTCCTGCATTCCACACACACATTCTTCCCTACCTACACTGTGGAGTAATAACCCAGTTTCCCCTTGACAGTCCACATCAGTCCTCACAGTTAACACTGTAACTCCTTTCTTGGTTTCTTCTTCATTTGGAGACATAAAAAATCCAAAGGGGAATTCCTTCTAGGTCAGTGAATTATTGTTATGCTTTCTAGTCATTACTCCCTAAGGAATTAAGACCTATGGGCCACAGAGCATAATGTTGCCAGAAGAGAAAACAAAATTTTGCCTGTGGGGTAACTAGAGATAATAGTGAATAGTGCTACTTCCATGTCCATCTTTGATTTCCAGACTTGTGACTCTTGGTTATGGGAGAAGTAGCATTAGATACTGAACACTGGTTTTGATTACATATGGCCTTCTGGAACACTTTGTCCCAGGCCTGAAAGGTATTGTCACCTGGCTGGTGCTGCAACTGAAGCTTCAAAAGGCCATTCCACCATTCTAATCAAGCCATAATCTGCTGAATCATATGGCTCAAGTGGCAGAATAACCTGCACAGCAGCCTGCACTTCTGCAGAACCTTCTCTTATTCTGTGCCCCCACACAAAACCAGCAACTCTTTAGATCACTCGGCTGGAATAACACACCCAAACAAGTAAGTTTCCTCCGAAATCCTAACTGGTACTAGGCATTGTGCCTTCTTCATAGTTGTAGGAGGAGCCAGATGTAACAATTTATCCCTCTTCTTAGAAGAGATATCTTACCATGCCCCATACCACTGGATCCTTAGAAATTTCACTAAGGCAGAAGGCCCTTGAATTTTATTTGGATTTATTTCCTAATCAATGTCCTCAATTTTCCAGTAGACATCCTGGGAAGCTGGGAGCTCATTTT